GTTTTGTGAGTAAGATTTTGGAACATCGAAGAGGTGTGTGAAATTGCTGATGCTCTAAGTATAACGACAAGTGCGTGGTGATGACAGGTCAAGGTTTTGCACAAGCGAGATTTTTGCTTACATGCGCATTTGAATGAAACTTTCGGAAATGCGCTTGCCGCGTTTTATGTAAACACAAAAGTACATTTTGCGGTAATAAGTTATAATGCATGAAACATATATTCACAACACAAAAGTACATTTTGGCGGTAATAAGTTATAATGACTTATTACCACCTATATTACACCTGACTTAGAGAAAAAAATCTTTTTTCATCAAAACGATGCATTTGCCCACAAAAGCAATGGCGAAATAGAAACTGGACTCCCTGACTCAAAACGGAATATCTATCTCGCTGATTAGTGCTTTTCTACCAATCCAGAACCCATTGCGACTATAGATAAGTATTTTACAGCACACATGAGAAGCAAAGCACTACAGAAAGGGTTAACAGCATTGGATAATGAAATGTATTGATATGAAATGTTAAAATATCAAATTTCCTTGAAAGTATAACGTCATTTTCAATATAAAAAAATATTGTGACCTAAAATAACATACTCCGGAATAGCACAACTCGCACTACTCCGGTCTCGGGCATAATCACGACAAATAGTGACTGAGAAGGTAAAAAGCGACGGGATGAGTGAATGTAACGACAACCTGCACTGATCCGTTGGAGAGGGCATATCTGGTTCACACATGGGTCTAGAATTTATGAGCGGGCAGGTGCTGATGTTAGCGGGATTGGATTTGAATCTAGCGTGGCTCTCGGCTTCAGCAGACATCTTTGCGATCCCGGTATATGCTCAGGAGATAATAGATAGGGTTTGCTCAGTCAGGACCATTTCTATCTGCTCTGATAGTCTAGCAGTACTAAGAGCTCTGCCAGCAGCCAAAGTCAGCTCTAAGCTCGTTCTTGGATGCAAGAGAGCACTGGCTGATGTGGCGCAGACCAAGAGGGTCAATTTGATATGGGTACTGGGACACATAGGTGTGGAAGGGAACGAACGGGCTAACGCTCTGGCAAGACGGGGCTCATCCACTGTGTATTTTGTGGAGATTCCAGAATTCCTGGATTGGCATTGAAGGAACGGCACAGGCTAGGCTTTTACATAGTGTGGCCATTGTGCTTACCGGCTACTGTAGACTTGGGCTGCATCTACATCGGCTTGTATAGGCGAATGGCCAATGATGCCGGCACACATTATTAAATGAGTTACTTAAAATTATTGGACAGGATCTAGTCTCCAATATTTATGCCTATTGATACACTGCCAAGTTGATTGTGTAGAATACGAATTCAAGTTAGGATCTTATCACTCTACAAGTAATTCAACGAATGATACAGACATTAAGATATATTTTATGTAATCACAAATGTAGAGCTTATGTAATAGGATGCCTGAGAGGAAAAAAAAGCTGAGAATATACGAACACTAGTAAGATCAACTATTTACCACTGCTTAATAAAGTTTAAGAAGAGCGGCTAGAAAGATAAAAAAGCAAAATACTGAGAAGCACCGTCAAGAACTTTAATAAACAAATCTCAAAGTATTTTTAAATGTAACTTTTTGCCCTAGGCCAACAAGGTCTGTTATGCACTGTAAACAAATAAATAATGTGAAAGTCAATAATAACATGCGCGATAGATAAAAACTAACAGTGCAGAAACAAAAAAAGAGAATACTTGGCAAAGGCAAGCCAGAATAGCTAGGTTTTTAAAACCAGCACATACCACACGTCTCAGAAATACAATTACAGTCCTAACATCAGACACAAATAGGTTCAAAACCTAATATAAGAATAACAGTTCCTTTCTAGGCCTGACGTGAATAAAAATCGACTTAAGATACTATTTTGAAGACAATAAGATCCAGAAAACGCGTAAAAACTGCTTTCACATCCTCGTTCTTTGATCAAATGATTACATTATATTGATATTGAGAACAACATATAATGTTCCAGACGTTCCTAATATCTATAAAGGCAGCTTTACATCTAGGGTATGCAAGTCTCATGCTATGCAAGTCCGAATTGCATGGCACATCTCTTGCCTAGCTTGACCTTTTTACATCAGAGATATTTTTGTGCAATTTTAGATCCCACTTTCATGGTTGCCAACAGAGAAAATATTTATCAATTTGAGGTTATTTTATTTTAAATAAATATAATTAAGTACTAAAATAAATAATATAATAAATAAGTATTATATTAAACACTATTTATGGTTATTAAAAGGGTGAAGGATGTCATCCAAAGAAAAGAAAACATTGTTATTGTTGAATATTGCTGTTGTAGCAACGACTCACCCAGTCGTTTTTACATTATAAATGTAATTTATAAATAATTTATAATATATAATATAATTTAAATAATTTTACATTATAAATGTATTACAAATTGTTATGTTGGCAACATGAATTGTTAACGATAAATTGCAAGAAAATAGCATGAAAAATATAACATGTTCTAATTTTCGTCTAGCACAGGAATTGCATGGAAATAGCCCGTGGGCAGGCGCAGTTCCATGATCTGTCTTGCATGGCTCTTGCCTAGCATGAAAATAGCATAATGTAAAACTGTCTTAAGAATAGAACTGAAGCATACACCATATAATAAAATAATAGCAGCAGGTACATTGCTTTTGTTTCATGGACATTAACATTCTGTGTGGCATAAAACGTTTAGTGGTGACAAAAAACTGCATTTTGGGTTAGGTTAGGTTAAGTTAGTCATGTAATGTAGTATTTGATGTAATAATGTAGGTAAACTAACGTAAAAAGTTTTTCGGTCTGTATTGGGTAAATTAATCTGAACACAACATATTTTACACAATTTTAGTTTTTTAGTAGTTGGCAACACGTCTATGTCAAAGTAGTGACAGTTATTGAGTAATGACATATTGGCGAGGAACCGCAAAGTGGGCGACGCCTGGTGGTAGATTTCAAAAGCATCCACTTCGGGAAAACTTTGAAATTGTCATTCATTTGTATACATATTAGCGACCGGTTTATATTGTAATTAACAATGACTTCGACTTCAAAAAACTATTGCAGTGTTCCTCAATGTTCATCCTATTATAATTCACAAAAAAAATTCCATACATAAGTTTCCGCTGGACGAGAATATGAGAAAAGTTTGGCAATACATTTTGTGAATTGGCAAACGTATAATCAAATACGTGACTGTGTGCAGTTTACATTTTACTGAGAACGATTACTTTCCAAGTGTTGATTAAAATATTATTTATACTTAATTTACTTTATAGTAACACCTGAAACTAAATTAAGAAGACCGAAGAAAAATGCTGTTCCATCAGCTAAATTGCCCCAACGGTCTCATGAAGTTAAAGAAAACGTAAGGTGTAATTTACAAAATATAACTTGGCCAGCTCCAAAAACTGCCTCACCCTCAACTAAAGATCTCTGTCGATCTTGCAACCATATAAATAATTAAGATAATGTAAATTTTACTTCCCGTGTTTCAGACATACTGTAGAAAAACAAACATTTAATTTTATTTTTATTCTGGTTTGGGAGTCAATTAGCTTATGTATAAACTCGAATCACAAACAAATAAACTTTGAAGAATGTACTCAAACTTTTACTTTGGCAAAACACACGTGTAAATGATTTATATTAAACGTTTTATACCTTAGAGATCAAATGACAAAATGATTTGTTTTCCCGAAGTTATCGTCCATCTTTAAAATCTTCAGCGCCCCCTGTCCGAATTGGCTATCGCGAATACCAAGATGCAAAGGTTTTGTTTTTTTTTAATTTATTGTATTTTTACTTAAATACCTAAATTTGCTATTTATTTGTGAAAATCGATGTTTACTTTGTGTGAACACACATCAATGACAAATATTGCCCAGACATATATAGTGTACGTTTACCAACTGCAAACAAGATTTTAAAGCACAAACAAAAGGCACAGTGACGGTTGAGGTGATTTCACCGAAAGATTTAAACATTCAGGGTGGAAAAAATGATCAGATCGTACAAAAAAATGTTGACTACTGCCATGATGGAGAAACTGCACGATTGGCCAAAGTTATATCTCAGCTAGACTTGGAAAGAAAGGTTATTCTCAGATGAGACTATTTTTGGGCACAAGACAGTAACAAAGCGTTCACGTTTTGTTAAAAGTAACTGAAAATAAATAAATACTACAGCTCATATTTGTCACACAGTTAAAGATGCTTTGGGCTCTTTTTCTCATAAAGGTACTAGATCCCTTTTAAAGGTATCTTAACCTGTAGGTACTGAGTGTAAAGAAGCCTAACAACCATAACCTCTTCGGTCGAGTGGAAGGCTGGTTAAGCATCCACTCATATCGAACCTAATCTAAAGTAAAGGTACCTAACAGAAGCATGATGAACTTGCAAAAATAAAGAGCAATGTTAGAACATATATTGGAAGATGAACTAAGATAGTTGATTCCGATGGTCAAGCAATTTTTCAAGCGAAATCGACTTCATGCTACGTATCCAGAGTAGTGATGAAATATGTCAAGGACAAAAACATACCAAACTTTGAATGACTAGGGAACAAACCTGATGTTAATCTACTAACACTACTTAACAAAGTAGTCATGCTCCGGAGCGCCCTCTATTTTGAATAATAAAACAGAGACTATTGTATGTGACTGCCAAAATAAATTTTTCATATTTCAGCGGTTGCTACGTAGTGTCTATTTAAAGTAGAAGATGCTATAGAGGGCAACTACTGTGTTAGGTATGAAGCTTGTCTTGAATCTAAAATTAACCGATAAGATCCAACTATACCGAAACATGGGTGCTATCCAACTTTTAGACAGAAAGAATACATTCACGCCTTGTGTTACATAATATTGCTCCCTCAAACACAAAACTGATTGAGGCTGTAGTCCAGTACTGGTGTAGTCTAGCAAATGTCATAAAATGTTAAAAACTTGTTGATTTTATACGAAAAGCCGCTCAGGGAATTATATAAAGCGAGAAATTATATTAAACCAATCTAAATTTATTTCAAATTACTAGTGTATCAAAAAAGTCATCCTCACAATCTTAGGTAAAATTTTTGACACTAAAATACTTACCTAAGATTTTGAGAATTGACTTCTTTCCATAGACTAGTATTATGGACTCACATTGGCAACCTTTTCATTATCATTTCAAATTATTATTGTGTTCAGATTAATTCACACAGTATTCTAATTTTTTCGACGTGACATCTCAGCACTAGGAAGTCATTTCTGACCTGTTCCATATTGCACTAATTCATTTGTCCTTATCTAGGTAATTAGATATACCTATCGTCATAAACACATATAATACACAAGAGCTGTACAAGGTAAAACCTATTTTCGGATAATAAAAATACTGTAAAGTGATGCTACATCATACGTAAATATATACAGAGCTTCAGCTCCATGTCCGAACTATTTATTTAGATCATTCGAAAGAGGAAAGGGTGGGATAGAGTCTAAGTCGGAAATGTCAAATTCAAGACGAAAATTATTAGGTTTAGTTTCCCTTTCGATCTTAGTCTTTAGAAGTTCATACTTTTTGTTGATTTTATATTTCTCTAAATAAAGTTTCTTGTACTCCTCTCTGCTATCTGTTATTTTCGTTTTGAGTATATCGAATTCTTGTCGTTGCATTTCTAAACAACTCTTTAACTCACCTAAAAATTAAAAAGAGCATAATAACCATAAATAAGGAATACAAGAAATGGTGAACAGATCACATGCCATAAGTCAGTTAAAAAAATATCCGTAAGGGTCGCTTACGTCGAGGTTTCGTATTAAATCATAACCTCATATTATTCCTCAGATTCAGATATTACATTTCAATACATTTTTGCAGATTTTCAGACTAGTTTCACAGTGTTTAAATTTGTGAATATTTTATTTCAACATAAAAAAAATTATTTTTTTATTTTCTGTCTCATAGTTAACCAATACAATAACGCAAATTAAATCTTGTTTAAGTTATATTTTCCAAGTTTAAAACAAATTATAGTTAATAAATAGTAACAAGTCCCAAATATTATAATTATGTAAAACTAATAAAAAAAAATAAATGCTGTCCCACCAGGAATTCAATTGATTAATATAGGTAGATCTATAGATAGCAAAATAATTTTCACAAAGTGTTACTTATTCTATTTTTAAAATAACAAATCATAAAACTTATTTCCTTCATATATGGGAATAATTTAGAAGGAATTCTATCTTTCAGTATTTTATGTTTTTTTGCCAATCCTATAGTATTTTCGACAATGATTCTACGATTGGCAATGGCCCTTGTTTTTATAATTTCTTTTTCTGTTAACTGAGCCTCTTTAGTTATATGTATATAAATATATTCCTTTTTTCTCTAAAAAATCTAATATATCAAAACCCCTGTCCGCTAAAATAAATTCTCCTTCAATAAGTCCTAAAATTCCGAATTCTACTGTAATTTTTCTATCTGAAATACTGCCTCCATAAAAATCAGATACTATATAATTTCACCTTTTTCAGATCATGCTATTAGTATTTTAACTGGAACCTATAATCTATTGGAATTTCGGTACGGTCCAGAATAATTTTGTTGCAATTCTGTGTTGTTGCAATGTTCAGAAAGTTAATTTTTTATGCAAGGGTAAAGATGCTTGGTCCACAAATATTTTTCGGACAGTTTAAGTCTATATTTCATAAGCGTTATTAACATTTCATTTTCCACGGAAAGAGCACTATGAATTTTAATGTATGATTTTCCAAACTCTTCAACAAAAAATGTAAATAATTTTCTTGAAAAACAATAAAATGTTTCTTCTGACAAAGAGTCATAAGAAATTAATTGACTTCTATTCCATGTTATCATGGTTTGAGTTGTAATACATGATTATGAACTCTGATTTATTTTCATTAGCAGGCGTCTCTGTTCAACCACACTTTTGGGTATCATTCTTAACTGTTTGTTATAATTCTGTTTTAGTAAGAGTGTCCAAATAATTAAAATGTCCTAAATAACTTATTAAAACTTAAATTACTCGCAAAATTGCAAAACAACTATGGTCTGTTTTTTAACCAGGGAGTAATTCAAATTTTCCGCGCCGTGATGCTTGTTTGTAATTGGTCCAACCGCAGGCAAGTTTACTCCACTAAATTATGACATATTGACACTAATGACATTTGAGAAATCTTAAAATTAAAAATTTATATCGACGATTTTTTGTATTTTCTGCGTTATTCATTACATTTTTAGATTTTCATTTGCATTTACATAAAAATCATTTTTTTTCAGAACTATTTAGCGATATATTAGTGTTATTAAGATAACAATATGGATTCAATGAGTGGTAATTATTCTTCTCCGGCTTAAAAACGCCGAGTAGATCTGGGTCATTTATCATCAAATGAGAAACAATGTATTATAAACATGTAATTGATAATTTTGTAACAAAATTGATAATTCTGGAATGAAAATAACAGCCACGGTAGCAAAAATAAAACAGGCAGCAGGTTAGTTTTGCAGAATAGGTATTGTTAAAATCAAGACTTACTAAAGTAATGTACTAATTTTAGGTGTTGCTATCAACTATTTACCTAACAATTAAAGAATAAGCAGACTGGAACAGTAAGAAATTCAAAATAATGTAGTTGTTCATGAACCTCACCAAGACTCATGAAGAACTACTAAAATTATTAAATTTTTACATACATTCCGAATATATATTATACACAGTATATTATTGTCCTCTAATATATAAATCGATTTCTGACAGTTTAAGTTGTTTGTAATAACTTGGACTTGGTGATATGCGAATAGTATTTAATGTGATATTTTTTAGATGATATTTATACTAAATATAGTTTAAAGTGTTTATAAATTTATAAATGTATGTTATTTATATCTAATTATCATAAGAAAAACGGCAACTATCTTTTAAATTTAGTGTATACTTATTAAGAAACATTTTCATTTTGTTTTCATCACAACAAAAGAGCATTAGTAAAATAATGTGTTTTAGTTTAATTTTATTGATACAGTTGGTTTTGTTCTTCCTGGTTGTAGATAATCACAAGAAAACTGCAAAATTGTGCTAGAATGTAACATAATAGATTGAATTTGTTAATTATCTCACAGAAATTCAGTATTTTTAGTAAATTTTAGTTATTGATAACAAATGGGACAAACTCAATGTCAAAATTAAACAAGAATCCAGCATTAAAGAAATTGGAAGTACACACTTATTTAAACAAAGTATCTTTTTGCATTTGAGTGCTTCAAATAATAGAACCTAAAGATATTGATACATGAGTTAAACAAATCTATCTAATGAGATAACTGATTACCATGCATGAAAAATAGGACTACACTTATATTTAAACCATAATTTATTCTGTGATGGGAAACATGAAAAAGTGAATTCTAAAGCAGTGAATGGGAAGGAATATGTAAAACAAATTGGCTGAAGCAATTCAGGAGATTGGATTATTAAGCTTAAAAATAATGATCAAAGTCAAAGTTAACTCTTCTGGTAAGAAAAAAAAACTAGATTCAAGAAATTGATCACACCATAATAAGAATATGGTCTAGGCAGTTTCAAAGAACAGTATTTCAGAAATCTTTAAACTCTCTCTAACTTTTTGATACATGCATTTGCATAGCTTTGTTGCATATAAGATCTATTTGCAAATTAAAAGACAAATTTCTGTAAAATCTCTCCGGATGCCTGTGCCTCTGTGCCTCTCCGGATCAAAATATTCTCCAAATTATAATTAAATATTCTAGACTCAACCACCAGAGATCTATAAAACTGGATCATATGATATTTAAATATATATATACATGGGACCAAATGTGAAAAACGTACTTTTTTTATTGCTATAATTGTAATATAATTGAAAGTGATTTGAAAAAAATTATTATTCAAACATAAATAGACAAAGTTAGGTTAAAATTGACGTGTAAGGTTGTCCGATATTGATTACTCGATTACCGCAAGGCCGAGATAATCAACAAAAAAAGAAGATGTATTTGGTGATTTTTCTAGTAACTTTCTTGGGTGCGAATCTGTCTTTTTGGTTTACTCCTCCTGGTTAAAAAACAGAGTATAGGAAACGAGTATCAAATAATGTAAATAAATAGCAGAATAAGATAAGAGGTTATGTTTTAATATCAAACCTTGACGCCAGCGCCACCTATATGCATGTGATCTATTGATAGGATAGACAGTCATAACTGCATCTATAAATTCTTGAATAAATTCAGACTGTTAATTGCTAAAATCAGTTTTAGACCATAGCGGATCTGTGAAAAAATTACTACATTTTGATATGAGTTTGGTATTTTTCACGCGCAATATGGATCGTTGTTATTATTATAACTAGCTGATCCGGCGAATTTAGTACCGCCTTAAAATTAAATAATGTATCAAAGTTCAATAAGCTCCTCTTTAGAGTCTTAATCCGGTCGATGTTTCAATAGTGACTTTACCATTTTCAATTCTAACAACTGCTTCGAAAACACAATTGCACTTTGATCTTATTGCAAAAAGCAAACTCGCATGCTATTTGTCAGTTGGAGCGTTTTTACATGCCGCCACAAATTGGATGATATTAGGCATACATTTAGTTAGTCGTAATTGGGGAATCATTATTCTTGACGATGTTGCAATCTGGTGTTTTATTAATTTGTATGTTTAATGTTAATTTTAAGGCAAAATGTGCAATTCATCCGTCTTCTAATAAAGTTGCAGATATTCCAGATAAAGGCAACGCTAGGGCTAGTGCAATCTGATTCTTGCCAATAACTGTAATAACTGTAATTACTTATTGTAATTTGGTGAACTGTGTTATATATTATAAAAATTTTTAGGCGAATTTTGAAGGTCCTAACTGCAATATAAGTGGTTGAAAACACAGGCTTGGTTTCCCTATTTTTTTGTATTTATTGATATTTTCCATCAATGATAATCCATTTAACCATATTTATATAAAAATCAATTGTCGCTATTTTATTTCATTACGACCTTGCTCCAAAATGAATCATTTTAAACTTATAAGCAAGAACAGTAGAAAAAACGATGATTTTATTTCTATTTAATTTTTTTTATTAATATTCCTGACCTATTTGAGAGGGACATAAAGGCAATTATTATTATTGAAATTATCACAACTTTTTCTGCGCAAATTAGAATGCCACCTCTCACATCCACCTCAAAACAGATCTGCCCTGATCTATTTATACTAGAAAATCATGTGCAATATTGTTGAACTAAAGTGTTAGGTAATTATTACACCATATTATAGTAAGATGGAATAAGAATGTGGTCCAGTATGGATCTATATAAAAATAACTAAGTTAATTGTATGTTTTTTTCAATCTTTGATTATGAATATATCGGAAAATACCATATATTTGACAAAAATGGATAAAAAGTTTTTTCCAGTGCTTAGAAATGAAAATATGCCAGAAAAAGTGATAAGAATATAATAAAATAATATAATAAAACAATTAAATTAAACAATATTGAAAATTTGATATTAAAAATTTTCCAAAGTAATTTCCAAAACAAATCACAAAAATTTTACCCTGTAGATATATTTATCTGTAACTGTCGTAATAATAAGAATTATATTCCAATTTTGCATTGAGTAGCTTGAGGAAGGATCTTTTTTTAACTACAAATTATAAGCTAGATAGGTAACTGAACATAACTTATCAAAAGATATTCTTTCAAATTACTATTTGTATAATATAATTTACCTACTCTCAGCTTAAATATCTGAATTTCAAACGAATTGAAGTATGATTTTATGAATGTACTTGTACAATTAAAGACAATCAATATGAATTATCAATATAAAAGAAAATCGATACAAGAAATGAGAAAGACTGTGCTTAAAAAAAAAGAAGTAAATAAGAAATTTATACTGGAAAATTAGAGAATTACATAAAAAAAATGTTCCTTTTCATAGACAAACATTTTTTTATAACTAAGTATAGGGCAATCCAATAGAAAACTCCTTATACTTTAAGGATAAGTTTTATTTTTCTAATTCATTAATTTATGTCTACAAACCTGTAATCTGTTTTAAATCTGCTATATCCTTGTCGTAATTTTTACTAGTTGATTGGGGAGACTCGTTATGTGCCAAAGCTACCTTGAGAGCTTCTTTCAATATTTGATTTTCTTCTTTAAGCTTTTTAATTTCGTCTTCGTGATCACAGTGAACCGTAGATATTACTTTATGTTTAGATAGACTTTGGTACAGACTATCTTCAACAGTGAATGTTGATATTTCAATTGGTTTTGGTTTTTCGCTAGATAACTAAAACAATAATCGCTTGTATTCTATAATTAATATTAAAACAACATTTATCATTTATATAATACACAGCTGAACAAAAAACTCAAGACTCTTCACTTCTTTATGATTAATACAGTTCTTATAAAAGATAAAATGGGTTTATTTTATAGAAAATATTACAAAAGGCAAATCTTTATAAGTTACAAGCGACGATAATCCAAAGATTGGTTTAAAAGAAAAAATAGTAGAACGCTATAGTTCTGCTAATATAGTAGAACTTCTTGGTTAGTTTTTTACACATTTTTCATTGTTCACTTGTTCGCTCCAGTTTGGTATTTTCATTTCTGGCCCCCATAGACTGCATCTATCTATGTCTTTCTTGATCACTGATGTCTTTTCTTCCATGTTTATCCTGGCTGTAATATTATTATGTCATTTATTTTCTTTGGCATCTGCATCTCAATCATCTCATTCACTCTGACCAATTTTCTGTTCTAATCTATCCCCATTACCACTATTAAAGCTTTTATGTATGCACTCTTATAAGTGAGAGCGCCCACCAAAGTGGCGTGGCACGTGGCAAGTAGCACGCGTCTAGCATGTTTCTTAAAATGTAACCAATGAAAACGAATGATTCAGCGCACAACAAAATGACAGTGACGTCATTCATTCTAATCATTCGTTTTCATTGGTTACATTTTAAGAAACATGCTAGACGTGTGCTACTTGCTACATGCTACTTGCCACGTCAGTTTGGTGGGCGCTCCCTCTTAGACTTTTTCATAACTAACTACACTTCTTATAAAAGTTAAATGGTTCTATTTTACAAAAAATATTATAAAAGGCAAAATTTACGAATCAAGCAAATTTAATGAGGCAAAGGTAATTTCAAAGAAAAAATATAAATAATACTATAGGTCATGGAGGTCCCTTGGCTTCTATGTTCTTGGTTAGATTTTTCCACTTTTTTGGCCCTTTACATGTTTCCTCTAGTCTGGTATATCCATTTCTCTCTGGACTGTGCTAATTGCCCTGATTCTTGGTTGCTCTCTTCTTTTATTCCCTGTTTTTCCTATCAGTAACATTCTTAGGCATTTCTTTTCTTTGACATGTGTGGCCAACCTATCCCACTTTCTGTTATTTTTGGTCGTCTATATATCTCCATTAACTCTATGTTAGTTTGTCTCCTCCCTTAAAATATCCTGGTAGGTATTGACCCTATAAGACTTCTTTATAATTAACTACACTTTTTATAAAAAATAAAATGCTTTTATTTTATTTATAGAACATATAATAAGTAAAATTTATAAGTTAAATCAAGCAAAGGTAATGTATCAATAGGGCAAAACTAGTTTTCAAAAAAATACTATCCTATACTTCACTTATTTCCTTCTGTCTGGTATTACCATAACTTCGATATCCCTCTGAACTGCTCCTATCCCTCTCCTTCTTTGTTGCTCTCTTCTTTTATTCCTATGCTTCTCCCATCTGCAATATTCCTAATGCATTTCTTTTCTTTGGCATTTGTATTATTTCAGCCAACAATCACACTTTTTGTGCCTGAATTTTCTGTTATTTTTAGTTACCTATATATCTCCTCAACTCCATGTTAGTTCGTCTACTCCATTTTCTATCTGCCATTTATATTCCTTTAGGCACATGACTAAAACGTAGCTAGATTTATTGTCCTGTTTGGTTTTACAATACACTGTAAGGTATGGACTCTGTATGATCAATACTGAGAATAAAAGATTGTTACCACCCCTTTGAAATTAGGATGAAGCATCAACCTTTTCAAGAATAGTAGAATGGATCTCCTAGAAATGCTGATGTCATACTATCCAGTGATAATGACATTACAGTGGTATAAGAGACTTGCCATCCACATTATTCAGCTCTACACAATGCTTATAATATTTTTAACAAATTTTCTGGTAAAAAACTCACACTCCAGCAGTTTAAGAAAAACTATTGCCACTGACACCTTCAATTATTAAAAATATTATTTTGGGAATAGATAAATCATGGTTGGTTAACATAAGAGTGAATCCATACAATATAGAATATGTATCTATCTATAGAAAACCAACTAATTCATTAAGCTCGGACAAATAGAAATTTTCATTATTGACCAACCTCAATTAGGGAGCAAAAATGCTTAGTAAAAAATCCAAAATGTATTCTTTAGTATGCCATAAATTATAAATATTCCTGAGATCTTCCAGTTTTACTAGCATTGAGGCATTATAATGATACAACATAATGTAATCTTATCATATTGTAAAGATGACTAAAGAATTTATTAAGACTCAAAATTGTTTAAGAGATGGCTTACCTGTTTTTTAATTAATGTCATAAACACAATTAAATGTAAATTCAAAATAAACAAATATGCAATACTTACAAGGTGAAATCCGGAATGTTAATTATGTTTTAGTAGTATATCACATGTACTATATTTAGAAATTACAATAGTTTCTAAGAAAATTAATGACACTAACATGTAAGATAAGCCAATATAAATATACCTGATTTAAGCATATAAACTAACCTGGAAGGGTGAACTAGCTCCATGTAACTCGTTTTCTCCACTAAGATAACATATTTGGTATATCTCATCAAAATTCTTCTTGGGCAACACATGTTTGTTAAATGTTACAGTATAAATATTATCTTCAGACTTTGTATCTACAGGAGCCCACTCAAAAAGTATATAGTCCTTAACAAAACTCCATCCTAGCTTAAAAATAGCAACCCTATCACCCTCCTGTGGGATGTAGTCATTAAATTTAAAAGTACATAACAGATCAGCATTACAATAATACTGATCTTGAATATCTAAAAACTGCACAGAATGTTTCATTGATACAAAATTCGACTCAAAACTATGTTCACCCATTTTGAAACTTTATGTGGAATTTTTTAAAAATTCCTTACTAATTTACGACTATAAAAACCACAGAAAAACCTAATCCGATGATATAAAAAGCCTTGAAACGTCAAAACAGATGGAAACTTCACCTTTTTTGTTTACAGACAAAAGGTTTCACGGGACCAATCAACATCCTGCTTTCCGATGACGTCATTCAAAGCTCGCCAGTTTTATTGGACAAGTATAATCCGCCATTATTATTTGGCCCACTAATAAATACAATACAGGGTCGAATTAAAGTAAATTAATAAAAAATCAATATTCCTACTTAAAATACGGTTTAAACCATAGAATAAATATATAAAATAATAATACAATACGTTTTTATCTTTATAGAGTATTTATACATTGCACAATTAAACAGGGTTATTAAGACGAGATTCATTATAGAGGTATTATACATGCCTGGTATCTTCTTAAACAAAAAACAATTAAATGACGTAGACTAAACTAAATATTATGTTTACGTTATCTATACTTCTATTTAATATAGGTTTTTATTATATGGCACATTCGAATTAATGAGTATCATAATAATAATTGTTATCTGCACACTACAGGTTTGGCTTGGCTGGTGATGGAATTATTTTAATAAAGAAACTGACAACAGTGAGGGACTGGAATTATACACATTATATAAAAAAATAATTTCTATTTCATTAAAAACTAAACGAAATGAAATTTCGTTAAAAAGATATTATAGGCAATTCTAATGGAGCAAGTAAAATGCCGCCAAGGAACACTAAGATCGTTAGCACAGTGTTGAAGCTCTTAGAAACTCTTCCAAAGTGAATGAACCGTGATAAAAAAAATCGAACTGGATAAGAAAGTTACATACACATATTATATGTGGTTCGCTTAGTGACCTGTGTCGGATATATATGTCGGTCAATAAGTCCCAGGCCTAACTAGTACTACATTTTTTTTGTAAAAATTATTTTTTATTCATCAAACAATCATTCTAACGCTTTTTTAATTTTTCGATGTCACTTTCATAAAGTGATTTATCTTTGTCTTCAAATAGGCTTCAGATTCGGTTATTACTTACTCATCTCTTGCCACGGAGCATTTTATTTATATCATAAAAAGATGGTAATCGCTGTGTGCCAGATCTGGAGTACACGGTGTGTGTAGAAGCAATTCAAAGCCAAATTGGTGTATTTTTACTCTCATTTTCATCGACTTGTACACATTGTTTTGGTAAAACAGCATTTTTTCTGAATACACGAGGCTTTTTATTTGCGCTTTAGATCTTCAACGGTCTAATAAACAAATGTAGTAGTCACTGTTGATTGTTTCTCCATGTTTTTTAAAATAATTCCTTGCGGGTACCAAAATACAGAGGCCATTACCTTTCCGGGGTTTGTCGCGTTTTTGGTTGCTTTGGACGGGTTTTCCGAATAGTGTCCACTCACATGACTGCCGATTTGATCCCAGAGTGAAGTGATGGATCCATGTTTGAGCCATTGTGATATACCGACTTATTGCGATTAAGATGTCCAAACAATGCCGAGATTCATCAATTTGTTGTTGTTTTTGCTCTGGTGTGAGAAAATACGCCACCGATTTGGAAAACAGCTTTCTCATACCGATTGGAAGAATCTTTCACTGTCACTTTCTGAAATCAATCAGAAGTTGATCAAGATTTTAGGTCCTTATTTGTACCACTAGGAAGCAGTCATGTCATCGCTATTACTGCTTCTAAAATAAGAAAAAGTGGAACAATAAATGCAAATTTGGATATTTTTATATATAGATGCCGTGTGGTCGTAGAATAGCATTAAATTTTTGCGTTTTATAAAATTTTTGAAGAAAATGAAATATTATTTTATTTTTTTATAAATAAATCTTTTAAGAAAAAATATTATGATTCAAACTTTTAATTTAACTCTACAATGCTCAATTTTTAATTTTAGATTGGAAAAAATTATATGTATAGCCATTTTATAAAGAAGTTCGAAAAAAATACTAAAAAAAATTTAAAATACTTAAGTACCTTTCTAGTATATTTGTATAGATGAAATTGAAAGAAACAGTTTGAATCCTTATTAAAACATAAGTGCAAACCAGATTACGACGCCTATGAGCGCCGCACGTTAAAAAAGACAGAATTTGCAAAAACTTTATAAATGTATTCTGATACAAGAAACCAATCACAGTTATAACGATTTACAAAAATACTCTCAGCACCTATCAACAGCAAATTGTTAGGATTTAAGCATGAGACGTGTTAAGGCAATGTAACTCGGTAAATAATAATACGAATGACATGAAATTTTGACAGTTTGTATTTGAAGGTTAGGACTACAGATATGCCATATAGAAAATTCATTAGAGTCTAAATCTTATGGTTAGATCCGGAACTTGACGTGTTCCACCACCTACCAAAAATTTAACAGGAAGAGATGGTCAAGTAAGAAGGCTGCCGGCTTTCGTTGAATGCACAATTTCTTGTTAAAGTTTAATTAAAGGAATGGGTACGGAATACTGATCTTGTTTGAGAACAGAAGAGGAAGCCACTGCTAAAGATAGAGAAACTTTTCAAGCAGTAGCTTTAATTCAACAACTACTAAAGTGGCAGGATTTAAAAGGAGACTATTTGTAGAAATAAAATACTTGTTAATTGCTCTTATTTATTTACTTAGTAAATTATAATCATATACATAGTACGAAAATATGCTAAACTCTAGTTATTTTTAATAGACAACTCTTATGAGACATCACTAACAAATAAAAATCATCACATAACAAACAAATCATCGATGAATCAGTCGTGTTGAAAATAAAGTTTAAACTGTTTTTGGAACTTACAGATTGGGTAAGTTTGAGATTTTTACAGTTATAAAAATAAAATGTGCATGATTTGAACAGTTAACTTAAAAACTAATAATCACATTAATAATATATAATGTAAGTTTAATGAAAATATCTTGATATGTGGTAGGGTACTGCAAACTATCTTTTAAATAAGAAATCGTAAAAACCTACCTAACAATAACTATGTATGTATTATCCACATTAATTTATTTCTTTTAGCACGCCAATGCACATATTTTGAAGTTGTATAATAACGATTCAGAAAATACACTTGAAGTAACTACTTGACCATTAAATTTGACAGTTTTACTTTAAAGTCAATCATTCCTTTTGAATTATTCCATGCAATTTTTCTGAGCTTTTATAATTAGTATATAAATAAGAAATGTCAAAAAGAATGTAAGACAGCTGATCGGTTTGTTTAAAATCAATGTTAGGTATTAACTAACAGTCTATTACAATGGACCTTTGCGAAACTGCCCAAGATTTATGCAAATATGTTTTGGCACGTATATTTTAATAATGCAAAATTGCTAATTTGTTTCATCTACTAGGCAAGTTAATTTTGATTCAAAAATTATTGTACTTCATAAATTATGTTTGACTATTGAAGAAACCACCCAAATAATATATTATTTGGGTAATCATAAATACACTTTTTGATTTTTTATATGCTTGACACGTTGTTTTCTGTTTCAGCTTTAAGGTTTCTGTATTTAGGAGACTGCTAATCTGACTATAAAATCTATTTTCTCCAACCAGATTTTCTCGGAAAATTTACATAAATTTGACACAGAATCTTTAAAAATCTAATCCCGAAACTTAGTAAGAATTGGCATGTTAAGAAGTCGACTACAATATGCCGATTCACCGGCGAAACGATCGAAAGCTCGATATTTTCTCAGTAGCGTATTTGCGGTGTTACAACATACCAACAGAGCCAGAAAGATAGGTCACCAATACACTGTTGATAGCGCTAGCTTTGAAATGGTGAACAAATCTACATACTTAGGCTACCTGATAATAATATACAAAACCTTTATACTAGCAGTGCTGATATATTGATCGGAAACATGGACCATCTCCAAGGCTGATGAAAAATTTCTGCTCATTTTATATGGTATTTGGATGAGATATATCAAACGGTAATTATATAAGAGATATGCCACAAATACAAACACATCTGGTGATAAAGATGCTAGGTTTCAACTAAAAAGACGCAACAACAATAAACTTAACATACAGAAACTAAAGTCAGAAGAAACAAAAGAAAATCTGAAACACGAAATCAACAAAAATCTAGATAGAAACCCAAGAAATAATTGCAACGTAGAGCAGCAGTGGCAATTCTTCAAAACCTCTATATTGGAGCCAAGTAAGAAAGTACTTACAACAACCAAATGTAAGAAAAAAGAGTGGATGACCGAGGAAATTCTAGAGTTTATGAATGAAAGGAGAAAAAACAAAACCATCAATACGATCCGTTATAAATAGCTTCAAAACCCAATAAGAAGAAAAATTAGGGAGGCTAAGAAACCTACTTCTCTGAAAAATGTAAAGAAATAGAAGTACTGCAAAACAGATATGACAAATTTAATCTACATAAAAAAGTCAAAGAACTAGAACTATTACTACAAAATAGTAATGTGTAGTAGCGAGTACGGACTCTCGCTCAATATAAAAAAAAGACGAAGTTTATGAAAATTTGTAAAAACAACCATAATCCTAACGAAAGCTTGATAGTAGAGGGCCAGCAGATCGAAAGCAGATCGAAAGAGTAAAAAAGTACACTTACCTAGGGACACATAACAGAAAATAATGACCACTGCAGAAATCAAAGTCAGAATCGAAAAAGCACGTTCTAATTTTATGAAAATGAAAAAGGTCCTATGTGGCAAAGATTTAACATTAGCTCTTAAAGTAGGCCTAACAAAATGTTACGCATACAGTGTACTATACTATGGAGTGGAATCATGGACGTTAAATCTAGACACAATGAGACGACTTAACGCCTTTGAAATGTGGACCTATAGAAGAATTATGAGGGTTTCCTGGGTAGATAGAGTTACGAACAATGAAGTACTGAGAAGAATAGGTAAAGAGAAGGAAGTTGAACTTACAATTAAAGAAAGAAAGCTACAGTATCTCGGACATGTGATGAGGGGCGAGAAGTATGGCATCCTGCGACTCATAACGCAAGGAAATATAGATGACAGAAGAAGCATCGGAAAAAGACGA